AAGTGGATCTTCAGTGTGACTGTAGTTGGTCCGAAAATCGATCGGGCGTGTGCGAGGGCTCCACAGCAGTGGCGTTGCCATTCCGGCTGGCCAGCCTCGCCCGCCGCCTCCCACCTCCCTCCTCTCCCCGTGCCGCTGTCACTCCGCAGACCGTGTGCGGTCTGTCAGCCGCTCTCCGCTGCCTTCCACATTCTCCTCGTGTGCGTTTATTATCATGAGAGGGATGCGCATGAACCCCAGGGAGTGAGTCAAGGGTTCCAGCGGTCTACTTCGATCGGAAGTCGGCTTGTGTCTTGAGCAGGCGTGAAGATGCAGGCCGACGTGCTCGTTGTTGCCCGGCGTCCCGCCGCTGCGATGTAGTTCTTGTTCCGCTGGTCATTCTTCCATGCAGCATGGACGTGATACGTGCAGAGTTTTTTTTTCAAGTAGATGGTAATTCAATGATGTAGTCACCCGCGCGTTAATTCGCTTCAGAGCTGATCTATGCAGCATGGACGTCATACGGGCAGGAGGTTCTCAAGTATATGGGAACTTAGTAACTCAGTCGCCCGCGTCTTTTCGGAAAAATGATGCCTCAAATACGCCCCCGAGGCGGCTTTACAGAGGGACCAAGGCGAATCTGCAGGATGCATACTTTGCTGACTCTTATCATGTTTTCATATGATTCGGGCTCGCTCTTTCTGGGCCTTTTTGCCCCCACTTTCGCTTTCCTGGGTTCTTCTCGACGCTATCTTGTGCGCTTTCCCGGGGCCGTCCTGACGTTGTGACGTGGTGACCTTCGACGTAGCGGCTCGTCCTCCTCATCCCTTTCCTCCTCCTCTTCTTGCCTCTCCTCCTCCATCTCTTTCCTCCCTATCCTCTTCTCTCCAGGTCTTCAAGAGGGCCTCGAGAGGGCGCAAAGATAACCCAAGAGACCCACACACGGCATCTGACGGCCCCAGATAGCCCCAGAATGCATCCAGGTAGCGCCAAGATTGCCCAAGCGGCCCGGAGATGGCCCCGACATGATCCAAGACCTCCCCAAGACAGCCCAACACAGGCCCAAGAGAGCTCTCCAGAGAATATCGCGCCGTCGGCTGGCATGGACGAGGCACCACAAAAAACGTTGGCACAATGTCGACCAGCAAATATAATGGCAATAACGTCATTCAGTGTCGGGCAACTCCCACCAACCAACTGGTGAGCTGCTGCCGACGGTTTAAGTTGTAAATCAGAGCGATGGCCCTTCCATGCAGGGCCCGCCCAGCCCAATGTGATCGCGAAGGCCTCACGACCAGTGCCGCCGATCCTGAAGGGGGACGGCGACGACAACAGCGGCGGCGGCGGCGGCGGCTGCGACGACGACGACGACGCTGACGTGGGCCAGAAGGATGCTTTTTGAGGTCTCTTCGGAAAGGCGTAGAACTCGTAGGATTCGAGCCCCCAGGAGAGGGGCAATCTATAGGAACGTACGTAAGACACTTCGGATTCGAGCGCCAGGAGGCCCTCTGGAGCTTCCTGGTGCCTCCTGGGGCCTCCTGTGGCCTCGAGGGCTTTCCTGGGGTCTCGTGGAGCTTCATGTGGCCTCATGTGGCCTCCTGGGGCCTCCCTTCGACCTCCTGGGGCTTCCTGGGGCCTTCTGAAATTTCCTGGGGCCTCCAGGGGCCTCCTGGAGCCTCCGGGGCTTCCTGGGGCCTCCTGGGTCCTTCTGGGGCTTCGCCCGAAAACAGGCAGATCGCTTCGGACATCCTCGCAATCTGGGCCCCTTGGGAGTGCTGAAACCAGCGCCTCGCCAGAGACATCCTCACACACTGATCTGAAAACAATGCATGTTGGGCACGCGAACAGGCAAACCGCCTGAGATATCCCCACAGTCTGGGCGCGAATGGGCCCGTGCAACACCCCCTTGCCGCCCCGCCTTGGGAGTGCCGAAACCAGCGCCTCGCCGGAGACATCCTCACAAACTGATCCGAAAGCAGAGGATGATGGGCACGCAAACAGGCAAACCGCTGGAGACATCCCCCTCATCTGGGTGCGAACGGGCTCGCGAGACACTCCCCTGCCGCCGCCCCCTGGGAGTGCTGAAACCAGCGGCTCGCCTGAGGCATCCTCACAGTCTGTGTGTGAGAGTGAGAGTGATTCTGAGCATGAGTGAGTTTGCGTTGAGTCTGAATGATGAATGCGTCTTGAGTGCGTCTGTGCGTGGGAAGCTGGGCACACGTGACGTGGCAGAGCCTGGGCCAGAGCCCAGCGCTCGGATCCTGCGTGGTCCAGCGCGCTCGCCCTCCGCACGCGGGTCCCGCGAGTGGCCACCAGATGTTCCGCACGCGAATCCGGCCGTGCGCGCTTCCCGCTTCCCGGTGCAGGGCGTGGGGGGGCGAGACTGCTCGAACAGAGTCCTGGCATGCCAGTGTGCACATCGTAGGAGATCGCTTCGCCACGAGCACGCGCAAGCAAATCACCGAGCCCGCACGGGGCACCTGTGAGACCCTGATCCTAGCTGCAGCTCCCCTGGGAACAATCCTCGAATCTCTGCTCCAGGGCATGCACCTAGCGAGAGGGCCCCCAGATTTTTTCCTCTGGGTCACGCCGCCTGTGCAAGGCATCGTCGACCTCCCGTTCCTGGCTAGCTTCAACGATTGGTTTTGTTCATCGGTTTCGCGCGATGCATCCCCGAAGTCATGCCGGCGGTCATGCCTCCCATGCGCGTATTGCCGAAGTCCTGCTCCCCCTTTCAAGCCAGCGTTTCAAGTCCATTAACGTAGCACCAAATTCTAGAGTCCGAAGTCTCTCATGGCGAATAGCCGAACACTAAAATCTAGAGTCCCAAATCTCCCAATGTCGAAACGCCGAAAAAGAAAACGCTCACCTTCCTTGGATCTGCGCTGGGCCCCCCTTGGCGGCGCTTCAGGTGCCGCCCCTGATGCGCTCCGCGCGCCAGGGGGGGGGGTCCAGCGCAGATCCAAGAAATACGCGAAGACCGTCGAACGTTTATGCTTATGTCGTGGTTTGTTGCTCTAGAGTCAGTAGGGATCGCCTTGGGCTTTCAGGAGGGGCTTTGGTTTCCTGGCCGCGCTCTTGAGGTCGACCTGCTCGTGGCCGAGGCTCGCCTCCTGGAGACTCCAGAGGTCTCAAGAAGTCCAGGGAGTGCATCTCAAGAAGTCCAGGAGGAACCCCAGATCCCTACTGACTCACCGCACGGCGTGCCCGCCGCACCGCCTGGGGGCCCCCGGGTGTTTCGTGTTTCTTCTTTTTCCTCCTCCTCCTCCTCCTCCTCCTCCTCCTCCTCCTCCTCCGTTCTCCCCCTCCCCCTTCTTCTCCTCCTCCTCCTCCTCCTCCTTCTCCTCCTCCTCCCCCTCCTCCTCCTCTTCCTCCTCCTCCTCCTCCTCCTCCTCCTCCTCCTCCTCCTCCCGGCCCGGCTGTCAAGACGCCGACGAGGAGGCTCGCCTTGGGTCTTCGGCAGGGGCTCGCGGCGTGCCTGGCCGCGCACTCGAGGTCGACCCTGCTCGTAGCCGAGGCTCGCCCCGGCCAGGACAGAGCCTCCTTGCCTCTCTCTCTCTCTCTCTCTCTCTCTCGGCTTTTTTTTCTTTTTCTCTTGCGAGGAGGAGGAGGGGGGAGGGAGGAGGAGGAGGAGGTGGAGGAGGAGGAGGAGGAGGAGGAGGGGAGGAGGAGGAGGGGAGGAGGAGGAGGAGGGGAGGAGGAGGGGAGGAGGAGGAGGTGGAGGAGGAGGAGGAGGAGGTGGGGAGGTGGAGGGGGAGGAGGAGGAGGGAGGAGGGAGGGGAGGATGGAGGAGGGAGTGGGAGGGATGGGAGGGAGGAGGGAGGGAGGGAGGGAGGGAGGGAGGGAGGAGGGAGGAGGGAGGAGGGAGGGAGGAGGGAGGAGGGAGGAGGAGGAGGGAGGAGGGTGGGAGGAAGGAGGGGGAGGGTAGGAGGGAGGAGGGGAGGGAGGAGGGAGGTAGGGACGGTGGGAGGGAGAGGGATAGGTGGAGGAGGGAGGAGGGGGGAGGAGGAGGAGGAGGAGTCAGGAGGGAGGAACTTAAGGGGACGGAGAGGAGGGAGGGTTATTTTTTAGGAGTGGAGGAGGAGGGAGGATGGGAGGAGGTGTGGAGGGAGGAAGGGAGGAGGGAGGAGGAAGGGAGGGTAGGAGGGAGAGGAAGAAGGAGGAGGGAGGAGGGATGAGAGAGGGAGGGAGGGGGGAGGGAGGAGGGTTAGGAGGGAGGGAGGAGGAGGGAGGAGGGAGGAGGGAGGAGGGAGGAGGGCAGGAGGGAGAGGAAGGAGGGAGGGGGAGGAGGGAGGAGGGAGGAGGGAGTGGGAGGCGGAGGAGGTAGCAGGAGAGGAGGACAGGAGGAGGAGGAGGAGGAGGAGGAGGGGAGGAGGAGGAGGAGGAAGTGGAGGATGGATGAGGAGGAGGAGGAGGAGGGAGAGGGATGAGGTAAGACGGAGGGAGGAGGTGGAGGAGGCGGAGGAGGAGGAGGAGGAGGAAGAGAAGGAGGAGGAGGAAGAGGAGGAGGTGGAGGAGGGTACGATGACTGTGCTCTCGCCCCCCCAAGGCTCGTTTCGATTCCTCCGATTCGATTCAACTCGATTTCGATGAAGTCCGATTCCGATTCGATTCGACTTCGGATTCCGATTTAGATTCCGATCTCTCAATGGGGCCCCACGAATCTGCCGATTTCCGCCGATTCGACTCCTCCCGACTTGGCTGCCGATGCCCGCCGATCCGATTCATCTCGATCGCCGATTCGACTTATCGATTCGATTCTGGGCTCTCCTGCCCCCCCCCAGCGGCAAGCGATGGGGGGGGCCTTCTCAGCAGCGAGAAGGCGGCGGGCCTTCTCAGCAGGCGGCGGGGCTTCTCAGAAGCAACTCGGGCCTTCTGGGAAGCTCTCTGCTCTTTCGTGGAGAGCTCAGGAAACTTCTCAGAGAGCGGGGGGGACTTCCGATCCTTCCGAGAAGGCCCGCCCCTTCTCGCTTCCCCCCCTGGGCTCGCCGCCGATCCCCCCCCCGCCTGGCGGTGCGAAGGCCTCGGCTGGCAGCCCCTCCGTCGTGAGCTTCCCCGGCCCCGAGCAGCTGTCGCTGCGCGGCAGAGACGGGCAGGAGCCGCCTGGAGAGGGCGGAGGCGGTCCGGAGCAGAGGAGCTAGAGGTCATGATGGTGATGCGTTCCAGGATTGCCAAGATGTCCCGGATTTCCTGGTGCCTCCCACGCGGGCTCCTCCTCTTCCTCATCGTCCTCCTCCTCCTCCTCCTCCTCCTCCTCCTCCTCCTCTTCCTCCTCCTCCTCCTCCTCCTCCTCCTCCTCCTCCTCCTCCCCCTCCTCCGTAGCCATTTTGGCTCAAGCCATTTTGGCTCAAGTAAAACATTTCCCAAGGCAGCTGGCCGTACAGCTCTGTTCCATTCCATAACTCACAGGACCGTCAGGGCTGCCCAGCCCACGGCTCCGCTCCATATCCGCAAGACGAAGCTCACCTTCGCACAATTAGCTCCTCCTCCTCCTCCTCCTCCTCTTCTCCTCCCCTCCTCCTCGATCTCCTTCCTCCTCCCCCTCCTCCCCTCATCCTCTCTCCTCCTCCTCCTCATCCTCCTCCTTCCCCCTCCTCCCTCCTCCTCCTTCCTCCTTCCTCCTCCTCCCTCCTCCTCCTCCTCCTCCCTCCTCCTCCTCCTCCTCATCCTCCTCCCTCCTCCTCCTCCTCCTCCTCCTCTCCTCCTCTCCTTCCTCCTCCTCCTCCGCTCCCCTCCTCCTCATCCTCCTCCCCCTCCTCCTCTCCCTCCTCCTCCTCCCTCCTCCTCCTCCTCTCCTCCTCTCCTCCTGGATCTCCTCCGCCTCCTCATCCTCCTCCTCCTCCTCCTCCTCCTCCTCCTCCTCCTCCTCCTCCGCGCGGGCCCCCTAGACGCTCAGGACTTCCTGGAGCGCACCCTGAGCCACGCGCATCATGGCATCACTCGCGTCCTGCGAGCGTGCCGCGCCGCCGGCTCTGGCTCACCGAGCCTCGGGCCCGCTGCGCACGCCCCGGCCCCCAAGCTGCAGCGCTCCGAGCCAGCTGCAAGTCGGGCATGTCCCTCCACAGGGGGAGCGGAGCAGAGCGGCCTGCCGTTCGCTCCCTGCCGGGAGCCGGGAGCGGCCCCCTGCTGGCAGTCAGGGATCCGCCTGGACAGGCCGTGGATGGTGAAGCGTGGAACGTGCAATCGAAAGGAAGATTCATGGGTTACGCGTCAGCCCACCTCTTGGCAGGCCTGCCAGTTCGCCTCCAGGCCTGCGTACGGAAATCTGGCTTCTATAACAGTATCTGCTTGACCATGTGCTTTGGGTGTCTGACAACGTGCGTTCTGCCAGGAATCGCATGCGTCGTTGCTGAATGGCGACCCAGCTCTCGTGGCCTAGACTCGCCGCTTTCGAACTTCCCGAACACCTCCACACAAGGAACCTTCAGAACTAGCTTGAACCAGTACGGTGGGGACTGTTTTGGGATTCTTGTGGATCCTTTTTCTTGTATGCTTGGTATTTTTGTTCGCCCAAAGCCCGCCTGTAGGAGGACACGCCCGACCTAGAGCTCGCCTTTGCCCGGCCTCCCGTCCCGCAGGGCAGGGCAGCACGCCACCGGCCTGCGGGGCGCCGCGTGCCGCGGGGGCCGCCGCCGCGACACGCTGCACGGGAGCTCGTCGCCGTGCACGGCAGGCTCGGGCCGCTTCGCCTCGGCGGCGACGCGAGCGCGTGCGTTCCAGGTGGAACGCCGCCAGTGGCCTGGAGCTGGTCGACGTCGAGTGCTCCGCGCTGTCGGAGCTCTGGCGTTCCGGCAGCATGGTCTGCGCGCCCATACACAAGTGCATGTGTACACACGTGGACCTCCTTCAAGGCCTTTAGGGGCTGCCTTCTCTTTCCTGCCGGTCGGCCGGCAGGCGGTGGCGGAAGCACGACGAGGGCAGAGGGCGGAGGGAGGAGCGAGGGCCGGGGCGAGGGCGGAGGGTGGAGCGAGGAGCGATGGCCGGGGCGAGGAGCTTCGCCAGCGGATGCAGAGGGCGGAGGGAGGAGCGAGGGCCGGGTGTGGCGGTCTCTCGTTCTCGTTCTTCACACTGTGCGCTGTGCCAGGGGCACCCGGTGCGCCAGCATGGTGTGCGTCGGCCCGCTACCAGCCTGCCTCGGCCGTGCCGGGCTCCGCCGGGCTCCGCCGGGCTCCGCCAGCTCCCCGTCGTCGTCGTTGTCGTCGTCGTCGTCGTCGCCGCCGCCGCCGCCGCCGCCGCCGCCGCCGCCGCCGCTGCCGCCCGCCTGCCGTCCGCGCAGGACCACCGCTTCGTCTTCGACCACGTGCTGCCGCCCGAGTGCGCGCAGGATGGGACGTGGGGGGCACACTTCTGCGGATCCTCCCTCCCTCCATCCCTCCCTGTCTCTCCCTTCCTCCCTTTTTCCCCTCCCTCCCTCCCTCCACCCCCTCCCCCCTCCCCCATCCGCCTCTTCTTCTTCTTCTTCTTCCTCCTTCTCCTCCTCCTCCTCCTCCTCCGTAGCCATTTCGGCTCAAGATGATGTCGCCCCGTGGCAGAGCACGGAGATCATTGGTCCAGGACCAGCCACGGACGTTTTCTCCCGTCTGCCTCGTGCCCGCGAGTTTGAGCAGCATCCTTCGCCGTTGCTGCAGCACCCGGCTGCTCGCAGCTAGCATTTCACGCGCGATCGCCTGAGGCTTTCGCGGGCATCTTCTCGCGAAGCACAGCTTTTGATGCGGCATTGCCTCGGAAGACGGTAGCAAGGATGATCAGCGTGACGACCCCTGGTTCACTGCCGCGTCCAAGCTGCCTGTCCAAGAGCTCCCTGCCCATGTGCGCAAGCAGTTGGAGGAGGTTCTTGCCACCTAGGTCAAGGAAGCTGCCGCACACGTCGAGGCCACTGCTAAGGCCGTCCCGAGAATGCGAGGCAGCAGTTTCTCGCGTCGCGAGGCAGCAGTTTCTCGCGTCGGTCATCCAGATCGCAGCCGACTTCAACTAGAAGCACGACCGCACCGAGCGCGACCTCCACGACGTCAAAACGAGGATGGCTATGTCCGAGCAGTCCATGCGTGAGTTCTGTGACACGTTCAGCAAGCTCCAGCGCATCGTGGGCAACGCGGAGGCGCGGCAGCCGTGCCTCAAGGTGGACGCCATCGGCTCCTTCGACCGTGCCGCCGACCCGTGCACGTTCTGGCGTGGCTGTGCCTCAGCCTTCTCCGTTGACGAACTCACGGCATCTTTGGAATGCTGCTTCTCAGCCGCCGAGGTCACGTTGGACCATATCGCCTTCAACACCACAGGCCTCGGAAGCGGCACTCCTTCACGGTCGCTGGCGGCACGGTGTTGGCTGAACAGCGAGCCCGTCGTCTTCATTCATCTTTACGTGATGGTCGCAACTGGCGTCAATTTGAAGTTGTGGTCGGTGGCGCTTTTCCCGTTGCTCTTTACGTCTCAACTGACAAGAGCCCTCGCACCGTCAGGCGCGAGATTCAGGTCAAGCGCCTCGCTAAGATCATTCAGGACCGCTTCCCGACCATGGACATTCACATCTACCGCTCCCAGGGCTGCCTCACGTCTCAGAACGAAGCGCTGGTTCAGCTACATGTTGGTGCTACTGCTGATGAGCCTACCCGACTCCAATGGACTGCCGCCGCCGTCAGGCTGGACATCGACGACGAGCGCCAGCGCTGCATCCGCACGGGGTTCGAGTCCAGCTTCGCAGACGCCCTGGCTGCAGCACAGTGGCTTTAGCCTGAAGTGGGCCCCATGGCAGCTCAAGCCGAATGACCGCGGCCTCAACGTCACCTTTTGGAACATGCGAGCGTTGCACGGCTTCGCTGATCAGCCCCGGGTTGAGAAGCGCCGTCTGCTACCATCTCCTTCGCCAGCGCGGACTCGTAGCAGGAGACCCACGGCGCCGACGCGGACATGCAGATCCTGGCTGCCTCACCCAGCACCACTACCTGGCCTTACATTCGTGGACCCCGAACTCCATTGTCGCTGGCGGCATCGGCTTTCTCGTCCCGTACGACGAGGTCCAGCTAAGCCTCCCATCCGTCGACCGTCTTCTTCGTTCCTTCGGAGAGGTCGTTCCTGGGCGAGCAGCATGGCTCCGTGTAACGGGCGTCTCTAGGGAGCTTGATACCACGGTGCTCAACATCCTCAATGACGACTTGTCGCCGAGCGACCGCGCGGCCATTCGAGAACACTGGCAGCGGCTACGCGAGCGCGCAGAGGTTGACCCGATGAAACGCCAGATCGCGATGTTTGGTGACTTCGCCATATCCGAGCTGCCGCCGAAGAGCATCAGCTCGGCCGTCGACTGCGGTCGCAGCAGCCAGGTACCAGTGCCAGCCTGCCTTCTGGAAGACCCTCCCTCCCTCCCTTTCGCGCACCGCAGCAGGAGGAGGAGGAGGAGGAGGAGGAGGAGGAGGAGGAGGAGGAGGAGGAGGAGGAGGACGAGGTCACGACCCTCTCCTCTCCTCCGCGCGCCGCAGCGCTGCTTCATCTCGCTGCCTGCCCGCGCCGCCCCCCTCGACGGAGACGGCGCCCCCCCTGCGGGCGGCGCGCCGCTCGAGAGCCCCACCGCCGGCACGATCGGTGGTCGCAGGAGAATGCAGCCTCGAGCTCGGCCAGCCCGGCAACGTCCGATTCAAGTACGCGCCGTTCCTGCTCTCACCTCCGACTCCAAACGTTACCAACACCGCTTCCAGAATACCACTGATGACCGCCCGATGGACCACCTCTCGCCTGTTGTCCAATGGCGCACCATCGAGGCCATGCTGCACGAAGCTTCGCGCCGCGCTAGAAAAGCCATCTCGTCCATTCCCACCAAGGAGTCGGACGGCGCGAGCAGTGACATCTCGAGAGAGGTTCGTGGCATGTTCCTCCGCAGCATTGCCCGCGCGATATGGCGTCAAGACGCTGGCCCTGCCAAGAAGCTGCTTGGCCAGGCTGAAGTTGGCCGAAGACACTTCAAACTCACCGGTAGCTCCGTCACGCTCCAGGACCCCAGCCACTTCGCGACGGACACGGGCCGCGTTTACGCAAGCCTTGGCGAAGAGTGACGCGGTGAAACTGCTGCCCGTTTTCGTGAAGCTTACGCTCGTCACCATGTTGCCCTCGGAGGTCGCTGGCGACAACGTGCGCGGCGTGGAGGCTGCAATGGTGAACTCTGGAAGCCATTCTCGCGTCGTCTCCTTCTCGCTGGCATCGAGACCACCGCCCACGATCGCGAGACGATGCCCTACGACCCGCACCAGATGCACGCGGCCATTCTCAACCACTGGGGGCCCCTCTTTGCTGCGAAGCAGGTCGATGTTACAGCTGTCGCGAACTACTATGGCCGTGTACTGTCACAGCAGCCGCTTATTGAACTTCCTGTGCCCGGTGAAGCTGAACGTGCGCGCGCTGCTAGACATGCCGCGATTCTGCCCCTGGCCCCGATGGTCTGCCGCATCGTGCATGGGTGAAATCTCCAGGTGCGATTCCTGTGCTCGCCGCCCTCGGCGACCACGTCGTCGCTACAGGCGCGCCGTGCGATCTGATCCGCGCGCTGATGGTCATGCTCCCGAAGGGATGCGAACCGTTGGGCAACGTCGAATGCACCCGCGATCCTGCCACACTGCGCCCGCTCTCCATGGGGAACAGTGGCGTGGATATTCTCGCCTCAGCCACCAACCGAGCCCGGCATGGAGTCGCAGCCGAGACGTCCTTCGAGCAGCAGGGCTTCACCACTGGCCGCCAGTTTTTCCGTGGCGTCGTCTTGGTCGATGCCGAAGTTCGTCGCCTCGGCCTTCTTCCAGGAGCCCCCGAGGACAGGCCAGGCGTTGCCTCCAGGGACATCGCGGCCGCCTTCCCGTCGCTGAAACACCAGTCGACGTGGCCGGTCCCCCATCTGCGGGCCATCCGCGGCCGCGCGTGGATCTCGCTGCGCGCCTTCTGCTTCCTGCCGCGCTCCTGCCTCTCGCTCTGCGTCGACGCGGGCGTAGAGCGAGAGGGCGCCCGTCGAGCGGCGAGATCCGGGCGCGCATCTTCGACCCGATTGTTTCTGAGTTGGCCTCGGAGCTGCGTGCCGTCGACCGCGGCCTCGTCGGCGCATGCGCCGACGGCCTTGGCATCGTCCTGGCCAGGCTCGCCGACGTTGAGCTCCTCCTTCCTCGCTTGCTCGCCGCTGGCGCCCTCGCTGACTTGGGGCTGCAGGCCGGGCAGTGCATCGTCGTCCCGGCTTCTCCCCTGATCTCGGAGGCCTTGGTGTCCAGCATGCGATGGGCCTTCGTGAGCATCCGCGCGCCTGGCCAACTTCCAGATTGCCGACGAATCCAGCTACCTTTTTGACCAGTGGTGGGTCCCATCGACTAAGTGGTGGGGGCGCGTCGTCAAGCTCGCCGAGTCGCACGCGCCACTCCGGCAGAACATCCAGCTGTACCACGTCGCGGTCGTCGCGTGCCTGATCTGCGTCGGCCAGTTTTTCGACCTTCCTGACACGCTGCTTGCCAAGGAGCAGCTGGCTATGCACGGGCTGCTAAGGGTCGCGCCGAACAGCGTCGCCCAGTCTGACATATCCGGCATGGCGCTCTGTGCCAACATCGAGACGCCGAACGGTATGGAGTCGTTGCTGGCCGCCGCCATGTGGCGCTCCGCCTCCATCGCCATTAAGAGCTGGACGCGCCTCTACAGCGCCCGCCGCGAGCACGCCCGCGGGCACCTCGGCCTCGTTGACGTAGAGGCTGGCGGTTGGTGCGCCCCCTGCTGGGCTGACCCGACTTTCATGGTGCAGCGCCTCGCGGTCGTCGCCAGCTCCATCTTCTTCGTGCCGGGCTCGGGCTCCCGCTTCAAGCGGATGTTGCGCGTCCTCGGCTCGTCGGCTCGCGCGCTCGGAGCCGTTGCAGCTGCGCGCAAACGTGCTTCTCGTTGGGGTTTGGCAGCTTCACTCACGAGTTGTGGTGCCGTGCCTGCTGATGGCGATGACGCCCATCCGGCGATGCGGAGAGCCCCTCAGAAGGCCTGCATGCTAAGCACTTCAAGAACGCCTGCGCCGCGAGACCTTCCACCGCGCGATCCAGAAGCGCTTTGCCGCCTGGTTCCCGAGGGCTCCGCGCCCTCGCCGGCGCGAAGATCGCGCAGTCCATCGAGCTGTGCGCGCCGGCGAGCGGCTGCGACAGCGAGCTGCTGCGTGGGCTGCGGGATGGCTGCCCGACATCCCGCTCTCTGGTCGCCAGCGTCATCAACGAGGACGACTGGCGCAATTAGTGCGTCGATCACATCAGCCATGTGCTGCAGCGCGACGTTTTCGCTCCGCTGTTCCGCGCGCGTGCTCGACGGCGACGCTTGCCGAACGATTTGCCGCAATGCGTGGGCCGCCGCGAGCTCCGGGCGGCGTGGCATGGAGCTGGCGTTGCTCGCGGCGACCTCTCGCGCGACCCCCGCCGCGTGCGCTGGCGGGCCGCCCCTCGCCGCTTCGCCTCCGCGGGGCGCCGCGCCCGCCGCCGCTGGGTCCGCGGCCAGAGTGCGCAGTGCACTGCCGAGGGCGACCCCGTGGCGCT